AACCTTGATTATCTTCTATAGGATGGATTTTAGATTCAAACGTCGCTTAGACTGTAATTATTTAGCTTAAATAAATATAAATCTAAATAAAATTGTCCTGTAAAAGATATCTCTCTTTAAAATATAAGAAGATGGAAGTACTTTAAATTGTAAACAGCTTTTTTATCAGTGGATCAACGATCGTCAGCTGAATTTAATCGCATCAAAGTGCAGCGCAAAAAGAAAAATTAGCGAGGCATTCATCGAGGGGTGCGCGTTAGCAGAAAGAAGAAGCTCCGACAGAGGGGTTGCCAAAAGGGGGAGAAAAAGAGAAACGACGTCCAAAGGACGGGTGGGACGGGGAGGGAGGGTTGATGGAAGGGAGGGGAATGAGGCGGCCGGCGGCACGATGCACTCTCTCGCCTGTTTAGTCGTTGCTCGTGCGCGCGCCATGCCAGGTTGGCGATGATCGTTTCTCTTCTCTCGCCTCTGTCGTACGTTTTCCTGTGAAAACGCGTTAATCAAATCACTCCTGGCTCGCTCGGAACGTTGAAAACGCCGTGTTTGGGGGGTTGGGGGGGGGCTCTCTGATCAATTTCAAACTGCGCCGCAGCGAAAAACTGTGAGAATACCAGGAATGCACTTTGCACCAGCCGAAATTCGTTCGGTAAATTCCAGTGAGCGCGTCGTCAATGAATCAGTGGCCGATTGATCAAGAAATTTCAACTATTTCAGGGTCTGTAAATACCTTGTCCACAGAACTGTTACACTTGGATAATAGAAGATACTGCGAAGATCGACTGCGTAGAAAATATTGAAGATTTCCCAATTCGCAATTTAATATCCAGATCAGTGATTGATTAATCAAGAAATTTATTCGATTCGGGGATTTATCTCAAAATATCTTATCCACAGAACTGTCACACTTGGAAGCATAAGAAGTGCGATTACACAGAAAATTATTGGAAATTTTCCATTTTGCAATTTAATCTCCAGATCAGTGATTGATTAATCGAGAAGTTTGCTCGATTTGGGGATCTGCCTCAGACTATCCATAGAACTGTTACACTTGGAAGCATAAGAAGATTTTTAAATATCGACAGACATCTTACAAATTCTTCATTTTAAAATTGAATGTCTATATCAGTAATCCACTAATGAAGAAATTTGTTCGACTAGAATCAATTCGTCCATAGAACTGTAATAAAGTTCGATTTCGCAGAGGACATTGTTAGAGATTTTTCAACTCCGCAATTGAATGCTCAGGGGATCGTTCCAGTTTGAAACATAAGTTCGACGCGAGTTTTCAAACACCGTCGCTGCTGCTGCCGACGGTGGTATTTAAGCACGTCACGGGTTAAACGTCAAGAAAATCGGTACGCGGTTCAAGGGACAGCGAACGAACGAACGAAAGAGCGAGCGAGCGATAATCGTCGAGTCGGCCGATAACGTTATCTGTCTGTAATAATTGCGGTGCATCACGGCCAGCCATTGTCGCCGGACCTCATTCGGTGTACTATTGCTGACCGCGTGCTTCAACAGGTGATACTGGCTCGACGCGCGGCGCCTCAAGTCGGAAGTTGAATGAACGCTCGGAGCACTCGGTAGAATTAAAAAGGGAAATCGAGCCGTCCGGGTGTACCGTGAAACTGTGCGCGCGTACACGGGTCTAGGACTGAATAAGATCGGATCGGCGCGATTCTATCCACTGGAACGTTAACTGGCGATAAGGTCAGGCGTCGCGTGTGCCACGAGACAACGGGAGGAGCGATAAAGAGAGGAAGAGAGTTGGGAAAGGGGGCCACCGACTGGCGCCTTGTTCCTCGCTAAAGTGACACGTCGCCTTGGCCAATAAAACCGACAAACGGTTCTAAACTGAATCGGCAGCTGCGATACACGCCCGGGCTTGAGCGTTCGTTGGCCCCGGGCTCGTTTAATTCGCGGAGCGAGACCCTCCGATCGAGTTTCGCCCCGGCGGAGTGATTAAAGTGATCGAAACAGAAGAGTTTGTGCACCTTTATTTATTACCTTCTGTGCTTATCGAGAGAAATAACGGGTGAAGGATGATGATGACTCGTCGGGACTGATAAGGCGGATATTGGATTAGTCAGGATGATGATGGCACCGCAGGTCGTGGGTGTCCTGCTGAAGAAACCTGGACAGCAGAGTCACCCACGCTTCCAACCGTTGGACCCACAGGAGACGAAAATAAGAGGTGAGCTCCACTTCATTCGTTTCATATCTCATGGACTTATCCCAGTATTTAATTACACAGCCAACAAGAAATGTTTGGCAGATAAGAAACGTTTGACATAATGTGTAGAGAAGGATTAGGCCCATAAATCATTAGCTGTAACAGATGTTTACAATATCCACTGCGTGATTCTTATAGAGTGTCTCATGTCAGGAAGCAGAAATGATCTATCACGTTTCCGAATAATGCACGAATTTAGGGAAAATTAGGTATTTAATGTGAGAAACTTTATAAGATTCACGCTGACGACTCTGGGAAAATAATTTTTTGTCGTCGTCATTAAAACCTGGGAGAAAATTTCGAGTGCCTCGGCTACGTAAGTAACAATTTCATCCGCAAATCGTTACTTTGCACCTAAGGGGATTATCTCTGCATCAAACCGTGAAAAGATGACAGCGTGATTAATCCTCCTCGGAGATCGTTGCGTTTGTGGATTATCTTTGCAGCAAACCGTGAAAAACATAGCGCGATTAATCTCGTGCATTCCCGAGCTACTTTTACTCGAAAACGAACGACCGACGCATGATCAATCCTTTTTGAGCTAGAAACAAATTTCACATTCCAACCGTTTTCCAAAAGTGAATCAACGCTTGCGAATCTATTAACCGGAAGCTCCCCATGACGCGTCGCAACAACAATAGCCGGTGATTCGTGAGTCAAAAGGTTCCGGGAAACTAGACTCTACTCGCAGATTAGAAGCGTTTCAAATTCACTTCGATTATCGTCTCGACACAATAATAATAATAATAATAATAATAATAATAATAATAATAATAATAATAATAAGAAGAAGAAGAAGAAGAAGAAGAAGAAGAAGAAGAAGAAGAAGAAGAAAAAGAAGAATAATAATAATGTTGCTTACTAACTGGCGACTGGAATCGGGAGATAGGATGTCCGTAAATCCCGACCATTCACCGACCTTCTCTCGGCTGATCGGGCCTCATTACATTACATTACATTATCCATGTTATGATTCATTGGGCCGTGTTGTTACAACATTCGTCTTATCGTAACTCGAGGCGCTGCTCCGCGTTTCGAACGAAAGTGAATGTTCCCCGAAACGCAGCACGTTGTACGATTCGATTTTCCGAACTCGTCTAGTCATCGCGAAACGTAACGTTTCATTGATGACATTTAGCGAACGGCTAATACTTGTGCAATTTGCCAACTGATAAAGAAATAGCTCGCTCGTTATCACTCCACCAGTCACACGAGTTGATATACAACTGTGTCCTATATAGAAAGATTAACTGTCTTCAAGTACCTTTCGCAACATGCCAGTTTTCAGAAATCAACTAATTAATTATTCTGACTACTAACAGATGTCTAATCGTAGACAAAATAGAAAAACGTAATGAAACTAGTGACACAAATTCAGAATAATGAAAAAGGTTTAAAAATAATTAAAATCGTATGAGTCGCAAAATATCTGCCACAAAGTTTAGACGTATTTTTTTTAAGTCACAGGGAAAAAGGAACATTAATGTATAAAATACTTCACATATTCCAATAGTTTTATTAATGTAATATCTAATAAGTGTTAACATTTCAATGCTTCTTTCATTGTCTCAAGCTCGTGCAACCTTAAATGCTTGAACAGAGTTTCCGATGGTAATTCACAAATAAGCCGTTCACCGAGTCCCGATCGGATCGAGCTGGATAACTAGTGAATAAAAGTTAAAAAAAAAAAGGGCGTCACGAAATTCTTGCGGTGTACGGTGTGGTCGGCCGGCTTTTTTTCGCGAGGAAACTCGCAACCTCTCACGATTCGATTGACAATTCGTGCTCCGTAATCCGGTATCTGGGCTACCGTGGTAACGGGATACTTTTACGCGGTTATCCACTCCGGGGAACATGAAAACGGCCTGTTCCTAGCGGTGTGGAAGCCGCGTACGACGACGGCGACGAGTCGTTCCTTTTTCTGTTCTCGAAGCAGAGCTCTCGCCAGGGATCGTAGCCCTGACACCCGCCGATTTAATGTCAGGGTTGACGACACTCGAAGAAATTTCACCGCGAATCCACAGTCAGTTGAATCGAACGACACGCGAATACATTGTGAATTATTAATACAGTATTTTATGAAATTCAATCAACTCTTATAAATATTTTATTATATTTTTTACAATGAGATTGTACGATTGTCTGCAGTCATAAGTATACAGGGTGTTCCATTTAAATGTAGTAAGAAGAAGAAGAAGAAGAAGAAGAAGAAGAAGAAGAAGAAGAAGAAGAAAAAGAAGAATAATAATAATGTTGCTTACTAACTGGCGACTGGAATCGGGAGATAGGATGTCCGTAAATCCCGACCATTCACCGACCTTCTCTCGGCTGATCGGGCCTCATTACATTACATTACATTATCCATGTTATGATTCATTGGGCCGTGTTGTTACAACATTCGTCTTATCGTAACTCGAGGCGCTGCTCCGCGTTTCGAACGAAAGTGAATGTTCCCCGAAACGCAGCACGTTGTACGATTCGATTTTCCGAACTCGTCTAGTCATCGCGAAACGTAACGTTTCATTGATGACATTTAGCGAACGGCTAATACTTGTGCAATTTGCCAACTGATAAAGAAATAGCTCGCTCGTTATCACTCCACCAGTCACACGAGTTGATATACAACTGTGTCCTATATAGAAAGATTAACTGTCTTCAAGTACCTTTCGCAACATGCCAGTTTTCAGAAATCAACTAATTAATTATTCTGACTACTAACAGATGTCTAATCGTAGACAAAATAGAAAAACGTAATGAAACTAGTGACACAAATTCAGAATAATGAAAAAGGTTTAAAAATAATTAAAATCGTATGAGTCGCAAAATATCTGCCACAAAGTTTAGACGTATTTTTTTTAAGTCACAGGGAAAAAGGAACATTAATGTATAAAATACTTCACATATTCCAATAGTTTTATTAATGTAATATCTAATAAGTGTTAACATTTCAATGCTTCTTTCATTGTCTCAAGCTCGTGCAACCTTAAATGCTTGAACAGAGTTTCCGATGGTAATTCACAAATAAGCCGTTCACCGAGTCCCGATCGGATCGAGCTGGATAACTAGTGAATAAAAGTTAAAAAAAAAAAGGGCGTCACGAAATTCTTGCGGTGTACGGTGTGGTCGGCCGGCTTTTTTTCGCGAGGAAACTCGCAACCTCTCACGATTCGATTGACAATTCGTGCTCCGTAATCCGGTATCTGGGCTACCGTGGTAACGGGATACTTTTACGCGGTTATCCACTCCGGGGAACATGAAAACGGCCTGTTCCTAGCGGTGTGGAAGCCGCGTACGACGACGGCGACGAGTCGTTCCTTTTTCTGTTCTCGAAGCAGAGCTCTCGCCAGGGATCGTAGCCCTGACACCCGCCGATTTAATGTCAGGGTTGACGACACTCGAAGAAATTTCACCGCGAATCCACAGTCAGTTGAATCGAACGACACGCGAATACATTGTGAATTATTAATACAGTATTTTATGAAATTCAATCAACTCTTATAAATATTTTATTATATTTTTTACAATGAGATTGTACGATTGTCTGCAGTCATAAGTATACAGGGTGTTCCATTTAAATGTAGAGACCTAAATATTTTCTTCACTCGCGATGATAATTGTTTCAAAAGATGAATAATTTGTAAGAGCTTTCTTTCTGAACGTCATTCTGTTTTAACGTCACTAATATTTTTTTCTCTGAAAATGTATATCTTTTTCTTTTACAAATTTTCAATAATTGCATAAAACAGATGTAAGGAATTTAAGAAAGAAATTGAAGATGCATGTAACAAGTGCAACATATTGACAGTTATCTCTTTCTAATATCATTGAGTAGTGAAATATATTAGTTGAACTCTTAAAAATAATTCTTGACTCATTTCTAATTGCAAAACGTTCCAACCATTGACTAATCATATTTGCCAATGTTTTTATCTAATCTGCCCCACCCAACTCAATGGATCGATTACGTGACTAATTGGTAAACGAAACTAAAATAGATTGACTTGTAAGAAGATTCTTACGAGATGCTCCGTTGTTTCCAACGATTGTTAGGAGGTTGTGAAAAATGGTATGTAGGTAGGTTCAAGGTCGGGATTCGCGCGAAAGTTTGTTCCGTGGACGGTTAATTGCAGCAGGCAAGTGGAGTACCTAAATTCCATCGTTTACGGCAGGTCAAGAAACAGTAAAAGGAAAGCAGGTGAGTCTATTAACGTGGCCGTGCTGGCTAAAGACGATGAATTTCTACCTGGCTTTCCTCCCATCCCGCGCGCCGAATTGTACCAGCAATCTTTCCAATTCGGTCGAAAATTTTTATTTTTTGAATTTCGTTTAACCATTTGTGCTAATTATAAATTGATAATTAGAATTCGTTTTGTATTTTTAATTATAATACAGAGAGAGAAGTACATATTTTATTGTAAAATAGTTTGTTTCACAATTTTTTGGGGTCTTTGGGGTAAACCCGCAGAACCCATTACTGCTTATAATCTATCATGTATTTTATATCTTATAATACATAATTTATATTTCTTAATTTTCGTCCACTCTCTGTTATGTAGAGGACAGGACTTCTCTTTTCACGTAACTCACTGGTCTTTTCCTTCAGTGAAAAAGGCCATGTAATGTTGGTTTCGATTTTAACTTTCACAAAGGAGCATTACCAGCCGGTTCGAATTTTCCCTTGGTACGTAACAGATTCAGTTAATCGAGCAGAAACACTTGATCGCATAGAAAGCAAGGGTCGTTTCGCTAATTTTCCAAATTTTCAAGTCGATCGACTCCAGAGTCGAATCGCATGGGGAAACGTCCAGGTATTTCACCTTCGTAAGAGATTTCCACGTCCCCTTCCGCAGAACGCAAGGTCGGAGCATAAAAGGAAGACTTTTTTGCATTTCGTGCCCTGAAGGAATCCACAGAAATGAGACTCGCACCCTGCATTCGCAAACGGATATATATATGTGTTT